TATGAATTGTTAGTTGCTCGTTTTTTCCTACATTTATTCGAAAAACATATTCGTTTAAACGCCGAAATATAATTTATCACGTTATAAGATGTTAAGAGCCTGTGTTCTTATGTAATTAAATAGGAAGGATATCTAATAAAATGATTTGCGTCATTGATACATTAACAATAAAGGAGAATGTTTTCATATAGCTAAATGCAATAATAGTCATTTCTTTAGTTCAACTATCATTAAATATAAAAAACAAGTTAACAGTATAGGGATGATCAATGATATTAGTGTATAGATTTATTTTATTCCCTTGACTGAAGGAAGGGTCATACGAAAAAAACTAAAATGCGTTTGTCTGTTTATTTGTAGACAGGATCAAAGGTCAAAAAAACATCAGAGATGAAGTTTATTTAGGCATAGCTTCTAAAGTTTCAGTAAAGATGTAACTGAAGTCGGGAAATCAGGATTTGAGGCCGGATTTTCTTAAAACTAAAAGAAAAAATTTCAATTAAATATTTTCTAGTCTTTTCATAATTATTGAACAATCAGTATTATTTGTTCATGACTAATATCCTAATAGACTTTATCAAATACAAACGTTAGTTGACCATCGATATCGTTTTTGTAGAATAGATGCTTTCAACATAACACGATTTTCAGTCAAAAAGTAGATTACAAGGTAATATCTAAATAACGATTCCAACGTTTAGGTTCGAATTATAATAGTAAAAATGTAAAAATTGAAATGAAATTTCTAAGTTCATATTTGGCAAGAGTGTCTCGTTGTAAATTCTTTCTAGTGGGACAAAAATGAACAAACATGTCGTATAAAAACTTTCCAATCACACTTGACCAGTTAAGATATATAAAATAGATATCTTATATAGTTTTTCAATCGCATATATCGAATAATTTTGACAAATAGCTTTTTTCCTATTCAAAGTCTTAATATTTTTACTGGGATCTGTAGTTTTTGATTTTAATGAAGTTTTTAAATTATTGAATGCTGTTGCTGAGGACAAAAGTGACCAATCCTATAAGATTCCATAATTGGCATATGGCTGGCCAGAATATTACTACTTGATACGTCACGAGTTGTTCTAGAAAATGGTATAGATGACTTTATCTATTGAACGTTTGTTATCTGTTCTGACAAAGTTCTTTCAAATGAAACATTCTCGTCCATTACAACCAACGAATAGAATTCAATCATTAAAAACAGAATTATTATTTAATAATTTATCATCAGCAAATATTGGAATCGATTCAATAAATGGAACATTTGCTAGAATTCGTTGCGATTCATTAGATTCTATTGATAAAGAATATCCATATAGTCAATCAGTTATATTTATAACAGACGAAAGTAGTATGTAATCAAGGTTTGTTTTTTTTTGTTTTATGATATAATTTTTTTCTGGTTTCTTCAAAATCAATAGAAGTTTTCTTTCCTGGTGTTAATTATTGATCTGCACGAATGATATGGCAACCGCTAACGTAATTAATGAAATTGTAACTGGTGTAACAAACTCGACTCTAGCTGAAAGTTAGTTCATATTTGTAAGAAAATTATCAAAGATGCTAGCTCTCAAGAGCCAAAAACTAATCACTTATAGCATTATATGAAGGGATAATAGTCTAAGTTAAATGATTGTTTATATGAATTTTTGTAAATGACTAATTTAGCTATATTTAATTTTATCGTTGATTTATTCATATATATAAAAAAAAATGATTTTCATTTGGAATATGAAATTTTATTCATTTACATGGATCTGAAAAAACAACATTAAAGTTATTTTTTCATTCTTTGTGCAAAAACTTGAATAATCATTTATTAATAATAGAAAAACGAGGTAGACAGTAAAAACTCTTATTTACTAGGAAAAAAAAGAAAATTTTAAGATCGATCGGTTGCTTCATATTCATCAATAATAATTACATGTGAACAAGAACAAACAATATGATAGAAACCCTATGATCGAATTAATACATCTGATGAATGAATAACAATATTACTTATTCAAAAGTAAAACCAACTCCTTAATTTTAAATTGTTTTTCTAAAGAAAATCATTCCTCTTTCAGTTTAGTAGCAAAGAAGTTTTCAATTGTAGGACTTTCATCTACTAATCCCATGTATCGACGAAGCATTTTGAGAGAATATTTCTTCATTTTTGAAGTCAAAAGTATTTTCACAGGAATCGAACGGTAAGAGCTCGCTCCTTAGGTATTTTTGCGAGTGCAATAAAAATAATAATATCGACGAAAACAAAAATTGGTTTTTGACAGAAAATAAGTCATGTCTACTGATAATGTTTGTTCAGATTGAATCATATATGTATATTTTATTTACTACTATCAATATTCAGCTGAAAAATTGATTATATATCAGTAAATCAATCATGTGAAATCGAAATTTATCTTCAAGTACACGTATTGAAGTGATTTTTATTTTCAATTTTTTTTCTTAATAAAGGATTTTGTTTCAATTGATAAAAATACTCGTTTAAAAGTTCCAACTGAATATTAGTGATTTAACTTCAACAGAAATATTCATTCGATGGGACAAAAATCGAATTTTATGAAAACTTTTTAATTCTCTGTACAGTTATTTGATTTTGTCTTAACGAGTTTTCATATAATGACAGTACAGTCGTATTCAATAGACTTGTTGATCTTCTGTTTCCAAGAAAATGAATATGTTCATTTGAATAATGCACTCTAATCAATTTTCAAAAGTCGTACTAAAAAATAATTCTATGATTTATGATTCAAATTAATTGCTTTTGTTTTTTGAATGATGATGATGATGATGAATAGAAATTTTTTCTGACCCAAAAAAAAGAAAGAAAAGAATATGCATTGTCCATGAAGGACTGTATATGAACAAAGGACAAGTATTCACATCCATGCACATGAGAAACGATGAAATTAATTCGTATCTCATCATTTCACTTAATCATGTGATGATTAATCAAATCAATTATATTCGAGTGTGCACATCATCGTCAATTATTGTTCGTCAAATTGATATCAACATCATTAGAATGTCTTTGATTGGCAATGTGTATATTTGAACACATATATATAAGAAACACATTTTCACCAGTATTCTCATACAACTCGATCGAACAAATCACGAGCATGCTCAATTAAGATAAAACATGACGCTCACATGATTTGTTTTTCACGGTTTACAATTTTTTATATTACTTACAATAATTAGTATTATTTTACTTTACCATTTTTCATAAATGACATACAGTTATCAGTTTATAATTATTTACAATATTATAAATGAAATATATTTACAATGCTACGTATGAGTTTATAATGAAATTTGTTACATAATGTTATGTTAAACTTTTGAACTCTGTAGTAGGAAAAAGAAGTCTATACATGTTTAATAATTATTATGTAATTTATTGGAATGTAGCAATAAAGAATGTTCAACGGTGTGGATGTGGTGGGTATCGAGTTTGTAGATATGGGTGTGTAGATGTGCGCGCGTGAATCCGTATGCGAGCATGTTGGTTTTTATCTGGATGTGCCAGTGTCTAGCAGAAATAATTTGGGACGCAAAGGATTAAAATACATTAATTTCCGATGATATTTATTGATTGATATTATATAATGATGCATTTTTTTTAGAACCAAATCTATTAATTAGTGTTATTAAAATTCATTTCTGTACAATTCAATAAATGCATTATATTACAATGAAATTTATCAATTTTATGATGTATTAAAATGTTTTGATTTACAATAAAACTTATTGTATGATATTGTGTTATAATGCGTTATTTTAAAATGAAATATATAAGTTTATGATGCATTAAAATGTATTAATTTACAATGAAATTTATTATATGATATTATGTTTAAATTCATTAATTTACAATGATATTCATTGAATCATATTATATTAAGATGTATTAATTTATAATGAAATTTATTATATGTTGTTAAATTCATTATTTACAATGATATTTATTGAATGATATTATTTAAAAATGCATTATTTTACAATGAAATATATAAGTTTATGATGCATTTAAATGTATTAATTTACAATGAAATTTATTATATGATATTACGTTTAAATTCATTAATTTACAATGATATTCATTGAATTATATTATATTAAAATGTATTGTTTTAGAATGAAATTTATTGAATGATGTTATTTAAATTCATTGCTTTACAATGCATTAATTTATAATGAAATTCATTCATTCAATGATGTTATATTATGATTCATATTTTTTTACAATGTTTTTGATTTCAATGATAATATATGTTAGGATGTATTGATTTATGATAGAAATTTATTCTATGATGTTTTTAGAATTCATCTGCTTTTTTTTTATGAATTATATGAAATTATAAAAACCATGAGAATGTTAAAAAAGAATATGATTTATTATTGATTTATACCAATAACAAGATTGGGTATGTTGCTTCAAAAATTATCTTATTTATCTTGAGAAAGACTTGAACAAATAAATTAATAGTTGAAAGAACAATTCTAAATTAAATTTTCATAACAATACTTACATTGAGATAATATTAGAATGAGATATAGATGATTTATTTCGGATGAAATAATTTTTTTCTTCGTTGTTGTACACACTTAGTGTATATTATTATTATGCTAAGTCGATGTTATTTATATTAGGAGATAGATACCAATTTATATCACAGCCTTATCAGGTGGCTTCGTAACCTGATCCAGAGAGAGATTCTGTTCGTCATGGAATAGCGAAAGCAGTTTACTACTCGGGAAAGCCTTTAATGTACGTAGGTCCCTGCCGACATTATGTACGGTACACCTATGTACATTGCCCTACCAGTCCGGCGTGGTCCGCTCTGTGTGTACCCGTTTCATACGCATAGGGCCTCTCCCTGGTCGCACGTGCGCGCGTACACGTGAAAATGAGCCTAGAAAAGTAGGGAAGTGAAAAAGAATCAAAACCAATTTATTGAACAAGTAAACGAAAAAAAAAATTACATTTTCTTTCGAATTTTTTCAAATGTTTCTTTGTATTCCAAAAGATGAGGATGAGTTGAAGGTAATTTTTCTTGAGCTATTTCAACTGCTTGTTGAATATTTTTCATTGCTATACTATATTTTCGTGTAGCCAAATATAATTTTGCCATATTATGATATACAACAGCCAAATCAGGATGATTTTTTGATAATTTATTTTCACGTATTTCTAATCCTTTTTCAAAATATGTCAATGCTTTTGAATAATCTTTCATTTCACGATAAGTTTCACCTAAATTTATATATGTCGTTGCACATTCCAGAGGATTACATTGAACATTTTCTTGAATATTTAATGTTTTTTGATGAAATGCAAGTGCCTTTTCATAACAACCCATTAATCGATGAACATCACCTATATTACTATATGTAATAGCTCGATTGGGATGTTTTTCCGGTAAGGCTTTATGACGTATTGAGAGACACTTCTCGAAATTATCAAGTGCTTTTGGGTAATCTTTCATACTGCGATAAACTCTTCCGAACCAACTATATGTTGAAGCAAAAGCTAGATTACCTTCTTGAAATGCTTGTTGTTGAATTTGAAAAGCATTTCGAAGAGCCTTAAGAGCTGCTGCGTAATCACCCATTCTTTCGTAACACCCTGCAAAATTCAAGTAACTAATAGCCAATTCGGGATGATTTGGAGGCAGAGCTTTTTCTTTTATTTTATGTGCTTTTTCGTAAAATTCAAGTGCTTTCGAGTAATCACCTATGTTTTTATACACTCCACCGATATTGTTGCAGGAAGTAGCCAATGAGGGATGATTCGGAGGTAGAGCTTTTTCGTAGATTTTATGTGCTTTTTCGTAAAATTTAAGTGCTTTCGAGTAGTTACCCATGTCGTTATACACTGCACCGATGTTGTTGTAGGAACTAGCCAAATTGCGATGATTTGGAGGTAGATCTTCTTCTCTTATTTTAACTGCTTTTTCGTAAAATTCATATGCTTTCGAGTAGTCCCCCATGTTGTTATACACTTGACCGATGTTGTGGTAGGTATTAGCTAACGAAGGGTGATTTTCTGGTAGAGTTTTTCGTTTAATTTTGAGAGACATTTCATAAAATGAAGCTGCTTCTTTGTATTGTCCTTGGTTTCGTTTCACCCATCCGAGCTGGTGATAGATATGTGCTCTATCGCTGTCATCAGATGCTTGTTCTAGTAGTGCCATGTACAATTCTTCGGCCTTGTTGAATTGATCAATTTTGAGGAGTAATTGACCCATTCGATACCATCCAGTGCTACCCGAAGATTCTTCTCGTATACGGTCGGTTAATTGACGAAGCTGTTGGTCATCATCCGACGTAAGTTTGAGTTCCACTTCATACAGTGGACTTTTCTTATCAATTTTTCGAACTTCACCAATTCGGAAGACGGTGTGCATCGAGAAGAGAATTTCCTCTTCTTGCGCGAAATCACTAACCTCCTTGATGGAGGCAAAGGGTGTTGATGATACCGTGGGATCGATAGTCATTTGAAAGAGAATACCAACCATATCGGTTGCTCCTAAGGTACTTTCGGCAAAAGCGAAGGAGACATCACGATCTCTGCTGGTGGATAAAAAATTATTGAAAGATATGAGACCACCTTTGTTTTTTGCGAGCTTCTCGAAAACGTCTGGCGATAAGCCTTGGCCCCTATAAACTAAAAAGGACTCTCCGTGATATTGACTGACCTGTTTGCTGTGTAAATGTTCAATTTGTCGATGAACATCACATAGATAAAATCCCATTCTGATGATTAGGTCACCATCGAGTGTTCGTAATGCACGATTGAGCATTTTAAAGGTGAAACATTGGCGTGTATACCACCATAAGGCCAATGTTGGATGATAAGTACGTTGAAATTCATCGATTAACTTCAGTTCGTTAGTATTGCCTTGGTATTGTTCTTGGCAGAAGGCGACCAAATATTTGATAGCTAGTTGATCATGTTTCATATCAAGGAGTATTTCCTTGAATATCTGGGTATACATGAATGATGGTTCTAGCTGATTAGGATTTTGACTAGAACCATCTGCATCAGCACTAATTATACTGACCACTGTATTATTTTGATTGCACTGCTTGACAGCTATTTGCAATGCTTTGCATATGGATTTGATTGTTTTGTGGACGCTTTTAATTTTTGTCCAATGCTTAGCCCATTCTTTATGATATTCCTTGTTGCGACAAAAGATATATATAGTATTAAGATTTCGCATTCCATGAATAGATGGTGCAACAACTTGTCCAAGTTTACCAGAGGAGATAATGAAAGATGTCTCCTCCTTGTTTTCATTGAGTAATGTGATGCATTCTTCTGCTGTAATGCACAATTTGACTTCATTAACAATACCTCGTAATTGCGACAGTGTATATTGACAATCTTCATTTTTCATATTGATATTCGCATCAACCCATATGACTAAATAGTTTTCAGTCATACGTTGTCGTCGTTGTCGACTCATTTTCAATGTATTAGTGAATAATGTGTATGAACAGAATTTACCTTTCGTATTTATATATTCGATGCATGTTGTTTTTTTTTCTAGATTTTTCTACGATGTCAAATGTTAATATTTTATTTTTTCGTCGATACTCAATAACAACCTATGCCTAGTATCAATCAAAGGTATGCTTGTCAAAAAAAATTAATTAAAGGGAAAAAGCCCATCAACGTCATTTATGATATGATTATTTTTTACCACTTGCAATTACGTTTCATGTGAAGCGTGACATAAGTTTCATTTTATTGATATCTTTTCTCATACGTTGTATATATTTTTTTCGATTCTTTCAAAATCAAACTTTTTTCTCTTGCTGAGAAGAACGAAGAAAACCAAGAACATCGTCTGTGTGTTTTTTTTCTCATTATGCATACGATTGACATGCTGATAATGTGAATCAAACAAGAATAAACATCATTTTAGTTTTTATATAGACAAAGGTTAAACAATGATATCTAGTTGCCGAATATACTAAATCACTGACCATCTAATTAAAGTAATTTTTTTATTCATGTTCATTCGAAAAAATATATATATAATAAAACGATATTTTGTTTTCGTATTTTTCAATAACTGTCCCTCTTTCATTAATTTCTAAAGTTCATAAAGAAATAATATTCAACTTGTGTCTATTCACACAATTTTAACAAATGCTACAATGGTAACAGGAAAACTTCTCCTATCCAAACATGTATCACTAGAGCTACGTGTATTATAAATGTACATCAATTGAAACCATAGTACAAAATACGTTTTAATTGAAAACTATTTCTGCTTGTATGATTGTAAAACAGAGTCATACATGCTCGTATACAATCAAGAAATAATAAAAAGAATTGCTGGTATTTTTCTAACTAAAATCGGTAGGAATATGGCAGGCATGAAGACTGTTTTTCTTGATTTAAAAATGAGAAAAAAAACCATTGTTATTGTATTGTATGTTTGATATCTTTTTTTGAAATGCAAAACTGTCTTCCTCAAATAAAAAGCGTTGGCTGGAAGGTTGAGTTAATGATTCTTTTAAGTTTCTTCTGAAGATGCAACCGATTCAGAAAAGATCAATCAACAAAGAAAAAGTCACAAAATTATTTTTATTATTGTTGTCGTTGTTTTTTTCTTTCATTCGTGCCTGTACGATGAATAAAAATGTGCCGATGGAATATGTAAACAAAGGACTATTGAAGAAACGTAATATTACATTTTTTTTACTCTCCTTTTAGTCTCAATTGCATTATATTCATTTCATTTTTCTACATGGTCATTGATTCATATGCAGTTAACACCACGAAAATCTATCTGTGGGTTATATATGCTTAGCATAATATTAAACAGACTATAAAATCGAACGACTATTTAAGAACTGGTTCTCTAGAGCTGACATTTATTATGTTATGAAAGAATATTTAAAAACTTTTCTTAATGTAAATGAAGTTTTTTCCGAAAGCTTTCTTAGTTTTGAAATTATTTAGCTTGAAAAATTGAAGAAAATCTTAATGGAAAATAGTTTGCTAAAAAATGGAACAAAGTAATTTCATAAACTTAGACTTACAAAAGAACATTATCAACAGATTTTATATTTCAATGGACATATGCATCTATTCGATAAAGTTGAGAATTATTCAGAGATCAGTAAAACAAACAATGATGAACTCGCAAGTGATAGTAGATATAGATATAAAGTATCACTGAATGAAATATTTATATCATTACTCCAAAACCAATAATTCTTAATATTAGAAGATTTTAATGAGTTACATTCTAGATATTAGTAAGACATTCTATACTTAAATATTATAGAAATGCCATAAAATATCATTCGTGAATGAAGGGTAATCTTTCTTCAAGCAAACAGATCTTCATATAATGCTTTTCATCAAGATTAATTGTAATTGTTTAGTTTCAATCTACAAATAGTTTATTTCAAAGATAATCACATAAATTTTAATGAGATTCAACAGTGACAATAAGATTTTCATGGCTCAAAGACCCATACAAAATTTTACGTTTGGGTTTGTTAAATGAATTTATCTAGATGGTATATATACATCTGTCTGTATTAAAAAATGGTATGATTATGTGTACCAATTAATAACTTTAGTTTGAATATGTAAAGATCTGTGAAAAGTAGTGTCTTATATAATGAAAACTGTGAAAGTCATCCATAGTTATTCCATACAGGTAATCTATCTACGTATCAAAATATGTTTAATGTTTAAAGATATGCAATACTATTTTGATTATATAATGTCATCTGAGCTTTTTTACAAGATCGAACAACGTTAACATGTTAATAATCATTTTAGAATTTGTTATCTATACTCTTAAATTCTAATATTGATTCAATAAAATATATTCAAATGAAGATTCTCATAAATTTTCTTATCATGTCACTTATACATTAATTGTAAAAAAAAGTGAACAAACATCGCGAACTAAAATTTCAAAAAATATATTTATTTATCAATATCTGTTGAACCTTGGTATATTTGAAGATTTGTTTCGTCAAAAAAATTCGTATCTATAGATAGCCTTTCATAGGTGTTCATTAGACTAGGGTGTGTGGGTAAGAGTGTGAATTAAGGGATTTTCATCTCGTACCCACACCCACCCACACTCCACACCCAATTCTATTATTCCAATGAAAAATAAATCGAACTAACTGACAATTTGATTTATCATTTGTTTTTTGGTTGAAAATTTTCCTTGCTTTTATGTTTTCAGGAGAAGAAAGCAAAGAAATAGCGACATTCAAAGAGATTGTATCAGGTTTTTTTGTCTCTTTGAATAATGTTTCCAGTTACGCAATACAAAAGTGATTCGTTCTGGAAATCAAATTTATTATTTTGCCATATGATAGACAAACACAACGAATTTAGAATTGTTGACCGACGAACTAGTTTTGAAAATCTTCGAATATCACAATGTCATTAGTCTTTCCTATGCATTTTAGTTGATATTGCGACACCATTATTTGATATCACTAATGGTATATTCATTATTTAATTTTCTACATCAATTTCGAAAGACTTCTAGGAAATGCTCCGTATTAGCTGATAAGAATTGTCTCAATGGTTATCGATGTTATATTGCCAAGGTCGTTCATTGTACATGTAGATACATTTTCTTAATAGTCGGTATGATGGCGTTCAAACTTTTCTGCTGTTATTTTTCACACGATGGCTAACTGTCCAACGGTACAAAATAAGGCAAATTCCTGATAGGAATTGACTTTTGCTATCGAGTAAAATGAAGATGTTATTTTCTGTTTAAAATGTAAAATATTGGACGAACAAAAAAATCATAATTGACTCAGACAAACTTATTGCGAAAGTGAAAATTTATTGGTGATTTTTTTTTTGATAAATGATGTGCTTTTTCCTGAAATATGTTTCAATCAAGCGAAATGAAAATAAGCTACTTCTTTCGAAATTTCTTACTTAAATCTTGTGATGGACTGTAACCAAAATAAGAAGTATTCCATTTGGATATCTGAAATAATTTGATCATATTTCACATTTTAATCTCGCACGAATTGCCCTCAAAGTTTTTTTTTGTTCAATTCGTGCCATTTTCACATAAAATGGTAATAGATTTAAGAAAAACTCATGACAATTCAACTTTATTTATCTTTTCATTTTTCAGTTGTATAAGTAAAAAGTTTATAAAAATGCTTATTTCCATCTATTATTCTGCCGAAAAACGTTAGTTGTGCAGCAGAATATTACGATAATTGAGTATTAGAAAATGGCTCATGTGATTCTCACATAGTGCTAATATATGGTTAAATACACTTTTATCTCCTGTTCTCAAGTGTGAAACTCTCTAGTTTCTATCAAAACTGATTCGAAAAATATTCATTCTTCTTCTACGTTGAAATGAAAAATAATTTTGCTCTC